ATATAATGATTTCATTGCAAAATTAATGATATTCACAAGCTGCTACTTCTCGCCGAAAGGGGTCTATAGTTTGATCATTGCATTCATATGAATATAGTGATTCATGTATTGAAAACATCAAACAACACATCTAATGCACTATATGTTCTGACTGACTGAATTTAGACCCAAAAAAACTGGAACGTATGTTTGGGATAAGCCTGAAATTCCTTCCTTTTTATATTATTATTACAAGTCATTGTATTGCATCATAATGCAGTAACTATCACTTCTGGTCTAAATTTAAACTCATAAGGGACATAATATTATATTATTAACAACACAACATCAACATATCTTGCATAGTGATGATACTTATATTTTTATTTAATATTTCCAAAAATAGTTATATAAGGCTGGTTTAGAGTTTATATGGTGCTTTAAGTGAATTTGTGTTGTGACTGGAAGTATCATAGTTGTTAAACTAATAAAATGTGTGCTACAATATCAACATAAGATTCGGCTAATCTAAGTTTAATGCATGTTGCCATTTGTTTATACAACACTTACAGTTGCACACATAAAGCAATGGGTAAATTTTAAACCCTTCCCTTACTAAGACTTGGTGTCTGTAGCAACTGTAGTACTTAGTAAAGCCAGTACTATCAAGAGTGGATAATTAGTTGCTACAGTTCAATGGTTATTTACACTGATAATGCAGGAAGGGGGCTGCAATTTTAAGATTAAAAGCATATATACTAGCTCCTCGCTATAAATTCCAATAATTATTGTTATATTTCATTATTTCAGTTGATATTTAATACAGAAACATACCAGCAACATATGTGCTACTTGGTCTGTCACTTCCACTGAACGAAGACCCCATATTCAAGTCCAATTGATTCTATTTCGCCAAGCAGCAATCCAGCAGCTAGATCTAACTATGGGAAATGCTGATGAAGCCGAGGATGAAACTTAATAAAAATTCATTGATTAAAATTAATTATCATAGTAGGGGCGAGTCCAAGTTAGTGCTTCTTTGATGTCGGCCAGCAATAATTATATGCGAGTATCTATGGGTTCTGGGCTTAGCTGCAAGAGGATGTCACCTAAACAGATTGAAAGGCCGCTCTTGCATGGGCGGTTGCACAAATTTGGTTTGACTTGGGCATCAATAATTAGTGGGTGTGGTTCCATACAATTTTGCAAGGAAAAATGGACAATACTGATCTATAACTTCATTGAGATGGTTTCTTAGCATAAAACAACAAAGAAGCCTGTTGAACTACCACAGTTTACACTGGATGCCCACACCATACTCATGAATATAATTATTGGTCAAAAAGTTAACCTGGGCATTGCCCTCTAATGCCCAGGCCTGCAACCACCTATGTCCTCTTGCTAAAAGGCGGATTTACAATATGACATTAGGCCAGCGTACCATCAATTTTTAATCAAAAACGTGGGCGATTTGACCTTTTGACACATGCTTTCCGCTGGAATAGAACCAGATTCTATTCCAGCGTCAACGTAACATCAGGACTAGCGTAATATTGTAAATCCGCCTTAACAGCCTGGCCTACGGGCTATATCAATTGATACTTAAAAACAGGAAAACACAGGCCATGATTTTAGGCTTGTCCCAATCATGTTAAGATTCAATGAAACACGTCAGAAATTGCACAATAGGTAATAAATGAGAAAAAAATCAGTGAACAGTAGAGAACAACAATCAAAAAATTTTCTGTCATTAATGTTTTACATTCTTCAAACCTAACACAGAAAAGTAATATTCATAATTTCATATAATGTGAAAGTAGCGGCGCCTTACATTGACGAATGTAAAGTCTTGGACATCTTGTTTCTGTCATTATACCTCAGTAAGATACATGTAAGTATTATATAGGAAGTCTACCAGGTAAAAAACAATTTCTCATTAATCCTCTGCAAACCGAGCCACCTTCAAATCAGGCTAAACTGAATAAAATAAAATAAAACAAAATTGCATCAATAAAATTTTGGAAATATTTTATATTTTCAGAGCTGAATTTGAACAATGATAATTTTTTCAGAAATTGAATAAATTTTTCAAACGCCACAGCTCAATAGGCTATAGTGTAGAAATTATTAAGTTATGAGATTGCTTTCACTTCATTATATACTACATGTAACTCTGTTTGTGCATGTACAGTACTGCTCAGCTATAACTTTACTTATAGTGTACAAGACACTAGTGCAGCTTCTCTATACACTCAATGCACACTAGTGCCAGGTACATGCGTAGCACCTGTATCGTGTATTTATCATGTACA